TGCACAATTGTTGTTGCTTGATGCTGATGATAGATTTTAGATGATGCTCTAGAATAAATAATTTTCTCACATAGTTTCACATTTCACACGAATGCGAACACTCATCGTCACTATGTGTTCGATCAGTATTCAGTCGTTATGCATGGAAAGTTCCCAATCAGCTAGAGAGCACAATCGAACGGTTCACCTCACGTCATTGACTCGTGAACCTCAAATATTTAGTCAATCTCAAAATGCCCTACAAACGATTAATATCATTTCAAGAAAGCTCACATTCTACAGTTGAATTCTGAAGAGGTGGAATGTGAGTTTATGCATGGTATTTATGATCATTAAGGATTTTTACAACAAGCCATTATATTTTTACCCTTGGAAACTTATGAAAAAAAAGCCCAAAAACAATTTCTTAAACTGAAGAGAAAATTTGAAAGAGGCTAATGTAAGCATGAACGAGTCTATTGATCGTGCACACCAGGTCAGTGATTTGCGCTATCGAAAAGAAATTTTATCGGAAGACAACAGCGCTGACCCGCACTAGTCGTTCGGGATAAACGTAATCTGCAACATTTGCCTTTAAGTCTAGCGCACGAATATCTTCTCCACTCGCTATTTCCATATCACATATTCAGCGTTTCCACACCACCTCAGACCCGCCGGTTCATTCTCGCGCTTACCTGTTACAGTTTATTCACCCAACTCTACAATACTTCTTCTCGATCAGCATTTATTTTTGAACATGTTGTCGTTCCGGCCAAAAGTTATGTTGAATACAGTATATTTTTAGGTGTGGTGTTTCTTCAGAACTCGCACGATTGGTCGTCTTTCTATCGAAGTCACAGAGCCTACTCGACAGGACTGAGTCAGTATTGATGTAGAACAATGTGCACATTACCAGTAACATTTTTGCATCGTATAGGTGAACTTCATGGAGATATTTTGAGCGTTTTCGAGAAAGAACGATTCCGACGTGTATCGCGAACCTGGAATGATGTATTCTCAAGAAATATGCCAAGTATTCGGATTTATAATATATCACTATTCGATGAATTCATCGACATCACGTTCAAAAGGACGGACAAAGGTGAATACTCTTCGTTTAGGGTCCAAATTTCATTTTCTTTCACCACGTCTTCACTTCCGAACCAATTGATCTTAGCAACCAATCAAATAGGTTTTTCCTGAACCATGAAATTTGACAATTCGACGTTTAATTACAAACATTGATGGGTGGTTCATGAGCAGTGGTGTCCAATTTGAAATGGTAGGCTCACCCCCGGCTCCGCGTTCTAGTAACAAAAATTTAATAGCTGGATAGTTCAAGCTCAGTAGAGGCAGGCTCAGTTCATTCACATCTGCATTCAAGTTTTATCCCCACTCAAACGAATGACGCGAACAACACACGGCCAAAGAACACATGGCCTTTTAAAAATTCACGCATATCGAAGAATTTCATTGTCTCTTCAGCAAGACCTTCTCGGTTCGATTAAAGGTTCAACATGAATGTTCTATTTCAGGGGAATTTCGTTTCTATTTCGACGAAGACTCACTTCGTGACGGTAACACGAATCACTTTCCCTTCGAATGCCTCAAATCATTTGCTCGTCATATTGCCGTTGTGGACATGTTAATGGTTGGACTGGATTCGAAATTCGATGCATTATCTCGGCTGGATACCATTCTGCAATTGTTCGCAGGATTGAAAGGCAAAAAACAACGTTCAGTTAACGAACTCGCAATATGGCTTGTTCAAGATATCGAAAAATCAAAGTCACAACTCTCCATTATATCAGTTTTCGCCGATTCATGCACCAAAATCACGGTATTGTCCGCTTGAATGCTACTTTTTCAACATATCCAATACACGATCACTACAT